AGTGCGCCGTGCCCCCGGCCACGCCGGCAGCCGGGCCCGCTTCTGCGGAGAAATGCGGCTCGAGTGCGGTCGCAGGGTGGTCGCACCGTGGTCACACCGTGGTCGCGAGGTGGTCACAGAGTGGTCGCAAACGGCGACGGCGCACGCCAGCCCCGAGAAATGGCCGGCCGCGCCTGGACAGTTTCAAGTGACAGCCAGGACTGGCGCGGCGTGGCGGCGCGTTGGTGTCGGCGGCGGCAGTGTGGCAGGGCCAGGCAGGGCAGAACCCCGTGGCTTTGCCAACAGCCCGGCATGCAGCCCCACACCACCACCACGCCAGCAACCGCCACTCACCGCGCGCTGAGCCGAGCCATGGCCGAGCCGACCGCAGAGAGAGAGAGAGAGAGAGAGAGAGCCCTCACCCACCCACGCGTTATAGTGTTATAGTGTGCTGCCGACACGCGTCAACTTCGCAGGTATTGTCCAGCGGCCCGACGTCCAGGTTCAGCGCAACGCCAAAGAACACGGCGCGACTTTGGACAGCATTTCGGCGCGCGGGCCCCAATCAGTGTGGCGGGTCGCGGCCCTCGCGGCCTTCGCGGCAGCAGACTGATTCCGAGAGTCGTGTCCGTCGCTCTGTCTCTCTCATACCTGCACGGGACGCCCCATGAGTGCGAGAGAGACAGAGCGACTCTCGGAATCAGTCGGCGGGGGTGCGCGCTCGACTCAACTCGACGGCAGCCACTTTGTTCTTTGCTTCGGCCGATCCATCATGCCGGTGATTTAGATTGGCCGTGTCGAGGCTGCCGAGGGCTGGCGGCCGAAGCAGGCCGACGCCTGGCGGCTCCAGCCGGGGCGGGGGACGCTCCGTCCATTCCCAAAGACACCGGCCAGGCAAGCCTCGGCAAGCCTTCACGAGGACGAGGCTGCACGGAGGCGGGCTGTTTGTGAACGGCGTTGCCAAGCGACGGACCGGGAGGGACGGGCGGGGACGGGGCCCGGGCCGGCCGAGGCAGGCTGCTGCCCGAAGGGGTTGGACAGGCCGGACAGGCCGGACAGGCCGCCTGGGAGGTAGGCAGCACCTAGCCGAGCCTTGCATCGGTGTGCGTGCGCGGCCTACCTCCCATTACCATTACCATTAAGGGCTAGACCACACATGATCGTATGCCACTGTGCGGCCAGTCCAGTCAAAGCTGCTTGGCGCCCTGCTTGAGTGCGACGCAACGAAGCAGACATGCTGACTTTTCATTTCTCCTAGCCTCCTGTACGACATTTTTCTAAATAGACGACTTGAGCTAGGCGAAAGAAGAGGAAGATAAGACCTTCCCGAACATGGCGGCCGGCCCCTCATTGGTCCTAGCAGACGACGGCGGCCGGCCGCCATGTTCGGGAAGGTATTTTCTTCCTCTTATTTCGCCTAGCTCAAGTCGTCTATTCGTCATAGACGCCTTCTGAATCCCCTATACGAACTCATATCACTGGCAGGCTGAAGCGTGTTTTTGAAAACTCCGTGATTCAAGTCTCACTTTGCCCTCGTCCTCGCGCAGTCCTTAATGAACGAGCCCGCCCCAAGAACACGAAACGCTCGCAGTGACGTCATTTTGATGTCAATATCACAAATTTTAGTCAAAATTTCGACAAAAAAAAAAGCATCATTTTGACGTTGTTTTGACGTCCTTTGACTGCTTCGTGAGTGTTTCGAGTTCGTTGGGCGGAGCCAATCAAACCGCAACCAAGTATAAATGGTGAGCGGGACGGCGATTCTATAGACCGTTTCTCTCCGACGTCCGCCGTTTCCGCGATCTCCGGTCATCCGAGCAGACTCGGCTTGACTGTTGTCACAGAGGCGCGCGCGGGGCTGTGGACCGGAAAGTTCCCTCCCTTCCCCCACCCCCTACCCCTGCCTCTTCCCAAGCTTGGTGCGCCTGGGGGCACAGTCCACCGGTCCCTGCAAACCTTAGGTACCTGCGTTCGAATCCCCGCAGGGCCGCAGGCTCTGTTGTGTTTCTTTCTTTTTTTCTACAGGTTCGGTGGTTCGGTTTGGCCTTATTCAGACAGGCAAGTTTTACCTGGATAAAAAAAAATCAGAGCTGGCAATTTTTTTGAAAATCAGACTTTAGATAACCCCTTCAGCAGATTTAACACTCTTCATTAGATGAGCTGATATCGGGAAATCCAGAGCCCAGAAAAAATTTAGCTTAAGCTGGGCAAGATCACTAAAACACTGTAAACACTTACAGCCACTCCCAAAAAGAGGTAACTGATGTTTGATTAACTTACTACTGTATTTTCGAGGGTGATTAGGCCCATGGCGGAATAGGGACAAGGCCAAGATTGACTTTTTACAGCAGAATACATGTCCTTGTGGGCTTGGAGGGGAACAGCTCTGGCCGGAGCGAGGCAGGGAAGCCCCCTGCCGAGGTGCGAGGCGGGGCGGGACGTGGCGGGGCGGGGTGGGGTGGGGACGTGACGGGGCATTCAGGATGAGGACAGGACGGTTTTGGCGTTTCGGTTTGGGTCCGTGTTTTCCCACACTGTGAGAAAAAAGTACGGAAAAAGTACGGAACATGTCTGGTCAATAATTTGCCTGGACCGTCCGTACTTGCCAACTACGGAACGTTCCGTACTTTTTTTCCGTACCATTTACATGGGTTTATATGGAGCAAGTACGGAACGTTCCGTACTTTTCTCCGTACCTCCGTACTATATTTTTCTGTACCACTTCCGTACAAAAGTACGGAATTTTTTACAGTGCAGCGCGACACGGGGCGTGTTTGGTCGCCCGGGTCACTGCCGTCTCGCCTCGCCTCGTCTCGCGTTTCATGTGGACTGTGGACTTACTCCCGGCTTAAAATAAAGCACGGTCGCCGATAATGCTGGAGAGCAGCAAGTGAGCGAGCGAGCGAGCCGACAGACAGGGCGGTCGCGGTCGCGGTCCGGGACGCTCAGGGCTCACACACTGACACAGTCTGACACAGTCCACGCCGTCAAGCAGCGTTGTCGGCCGGTTGTCGGCGCCGGAACTTGGTTCAAACTGATGCCACCACGACCTTTAAATGGACGTTTTCAGTAACCATTTGTCCGGTTGACGTCCAACTGGCAACATTGGATCTGATGTCGGCTGCCCTGCACTGCGCGGGTTGGGGAGGGAAATCCAGTTGGTACCGAAGGGCCATACGACTCACCTGCACCGCTGCTGTCTGTAAGTGCCATGGCGACGACGGCGACAGCCGTCCGGGCGTGCGTGCCTCCGCGACGCTCCGCGACGCCTCCCGTTGCCGTGTCGGCTGGCGGTGCTGGCGGCTGACGCTGACGGCTAGCAGCGACGCCCGCACCGCGGTGCACGCGCGTGCCGCCAGGAGGCTGGCATTGCAAAACCGGCGGCACCGACTGCAGCGCGGCCTGCAGCGACACTGTCCCACTTCGGGGCGCTCGCTGGTCGCACCATCACCAACAACACGCCGGGCTTGTCCTCGCCGAGGCGCTAATCGGCGCGATGCGGCGTGCTCGGCCTGCGCGTCCCGGTGGTCCCGGTCCCCGTGTGCACTCTGCAGCGTCTGCAGCCCCAGCCCCGGCCTGGCGGCGCCGCGCCGCTCCCACACGCGCTGCGCTGGCTCCGCTGGCTCTGCTCTCCGTTTGTTGACTGTGCGATAAGTTAAGGATGCGCGCCGTCGAGCCGCGCGGCCGCGAGGCGGAGGATGGCGGCCGAGCTTCTGGACCACAACGCGGTCCGCCGCGTCACGCCGCGTCCCTCGCCGGGCGGCCTGGGCGGCGAGGGCCCTCAACAAGTGTCTGCTGCACTCTGACGCCGGCTGCGCGGGCTCCGGTTTGCGGTTTGCGCGGCGAGCGGAGGCACCCTGACGGTCCTGACGGTCCTGACGGCGGCGGGGAGGCCCCGGGGAAGGCCCTGGCGACGGGCAACCAGGGGCCGAGCCGCGCTGTGCCGCGCAGTGGCGAGCCGCGTTCTGGCCGAGTAGCGCCAGAGCCCCACCCCTTCCGCGCAGAGCGGACTAGTGTCCTCCGCGGCAGCCAGTGCCGAACTGAACCCAGCCCAACCCACACGGGACGGCACGGCGGCTGCCTGAGGCTCTGCGGCGCTCTGCGTGGCTCTGTGGGCCTCTGCGGCAGCAGCAGGAGCAGTGCCCAGCAGTGCCGTGTCGGCCGGGCCCTCTGCCTGAGGCCCTCTGCCTGAGGCCCTCTGCCTGAGGCCCTCTGCCTGAGGCCCTCTGCCTGAGGCCCTCTGCCTGAGGCCCTCTGCCTGAGGCCCTCTGCCTGAGGCCCTCTGCCTGAGGCCCTCTGCCTGAGGCCCTCTGCCTGAGGCCCTCTGCCTGAGGCCCTCTGCCTGAGGCCCTCTGCCTGAGGCCCTCTGCCTGAGGCCCTCCAGGCCTGCCCGTCCGCCCCTCGCGCTGCGCGTCGCTGCGCGTCGCTGCTGCAGTGGCCGGCCGCAGGCCGCAGCGTCGAGGAGTTGCAGCATCAGACATCCAGCAGCCTCCTTCCGGACAGAGCTTCGTCGCTCCGTCTCTCTCGCGCCCCGGGCCCCAGCCGGATGGCCTATGAGTGCGAGTGAGACGGCAACGAAAGCATAGTCCCGAATCGGCCATCAGCCTGCAGGCACGCCATGTCAAGTGGGCAGCCTACCGGAACGCTCTAGCCATGAGACAAGGGCCTTGTATCATGATCTCGCCTCTTGCAAAAAATAAAAGCTTTTGAACTAGGATCCAGATGCTTGAAGATGACGTCATTCTGTCAATCACGTCAAAATTTAAGACGGCATCAGAGTTGCCGGTCCAGCTGCTGACAGCCCCCCTCCTCTGTTCTATGCATGGGCCGCGTCGTGTATCCCGCAACACCTATGGGTCTGTTCTGTGGCCCACTGGCTCCTTGAGTTCCATGGATCGGGCTGCTTTCGGACTACTGGCCTCAGCTATGGGTAAGCATCAATTTTGCAGCTTCCTATTATGTGTGGTCATATTAGTTTTGGATATTAGACGTTGTGAGGGGAAAAAAATTGAGAGACACAATTTAAGTAGATGGTTGATAATTTAATTTCTGTTAGCAAACACTACATACCTCAATGTAATATTACATAATAATAGATGTTGATATGACATACATGTAAAAAAAACATAAGAGGCTCATACAAGAGTTGTTTTTTTGGTTGTTTTCTTTTAAAAGAACAGATCAGTACAATGCTAACAGCAATCAGGCTGAGAGGACACTTCAAATCAGACAAAAACTGTAGTATATAAAAATCATAGCCTTCAAACAGCCAGGCAATGCAACCCACCATCAGGGGTACAATTGACTTGCTGTTTGAAGGCAATGCCACAAAAAATGCATCCCTAAAAAACCTTGTTTCAACAAAGAAATTACAACTAACTACATTTAGGAATGTTGTCCTGACATGTTGCCTACTACTAGTGTCACCTCAGCCATGTGCTAAACAGGAAAATCTAAGGTAATTATTTAAATAAATGGCTGTTTAAACTTCACAATTCTAAAATTCATTTGCCACCAGCATAAGGATCTAAGTGTGCCTTTTAAATGAACAATGTGCCCTATTTTACATCTGGTAAGAGGCAGTTGAATAGATGCACAGCTGAGAAGCTCTAGTCATGATAAAATATGTATGTACACAGGTATGTCTGTAGAAGAGATTTTCACACAGGCTCTGATGTCCATAGACTCCAATCCATTTGTTGCCCTAAACATTTAAAAATAGGCAATTATAGTTGGAAGTTATCAAAAACCATTAAAGGTTCAAATAGTAACTATGCCAAGGAAGATGTTTGATAATTACCATTTCAGGTACAATCATTCATGTATTGGTCCATTCAAGCTGGAAAATGAAAAATAATTGAATACAAATTAAAATACATCTAATAAAAAATTGTGATTCAGCATTCCCAATACATTGAAGTGATAAAGAATAGGCACATGAAATTCAACCAGCCACTGACAAGTTTACATTCATCTCATGGCAGCACCTATGTGCAGGCTATAAGCAAGCTATTTTTTTTTTTGTCAAAAGGGTTGGGTTTTAAAAGCAACAAATTGGAATCTTTGTTCTATGACACAGCAATCCAACCAAATTAATTAACATCTGAAGTGTGATAAGTTTCCTGACCAGACAACCATTAAATTTGCAGTTAATTCCCATTAACATTCCCTACATAAGAACAGATACAATAGAATGTAACAACCAATTTAATAGACCATGTTGTTCCACAAAAACATTGATACATAAAATAAAAATGAACATTTTAAAATGAATGAATAAAAATGAATCTTACAGGAAATTGAAACAATAAAATTAAATAGAAAAATAAAGTAAAAACTTGCTTGTTATTATTTACCTGCAATGCCAGCAATAGCTTCAGATGCAAAGAACTTAACATCAACATCAGTGTCTCCGTTCAGCCTATCCAGTACAGGCTTGACTTGCACAGAGATGGTTCTGCAAGAGAAAATAACTTGAGCTCATAATAATGCAAGAGGTAATGGGTTACAGATTTCAAAAGGGATGAAACAAACACTTACACTGGGTCCAGAATTGGGGAAATCTTCTGTAGGGTTTTGGCCACATTAAATCTTACATTGGCAACTTTGTCACCAGCCATAGCTGTTACTGTGGGTAGCATCAGTTTAACAGTTATGTCTTGTCCACAAGCTTCAGCAAGAACCTGCACAACAGCAATTTTGTTAGATTTAAAAATCATCTACATTACCCCAAACTTATGACAAGTTAAAAAATCAAATTACATTGATACAGAAGAGACAGGTCATACGATGTAGATAATTCTGATCACGGGACATGGCCAACACTTTAGGAATGACAGTTTTCTGTGCCCAATCAGGACCAAACTTCTCTACAAGCTTCTTCAAGTTAAGAGTGGCAGCTTCTCTGATGGCATAAACTGTAAAAGATAATTATTAGTCCAAAATGTTCAGGTGAGGAAATCCCAGGAGGTCACCATGAAACTCCACAACACCTACCATGATCAACAAGCCATGTCATACAAAGTGAATTCAGTTTCTCATCAAAGAATTCCACCCCCAATTGACCAGCAAGAAGAGGCATGTATTCAATGATGGCCAGTCTTACTCTCCATTTAGAATCCTCAGCAAGCTCTACAATAGCAGGAAGAAGGGACTGCGATAACTGGAACAAATTTCAATTGTTGAAAAACCAGGAAACAATTGATGACACATCGAGTGAACAAGTTAATGTTGTACCTGCTGAATTCCAATAACTTCATTCACACAATCTAAATTCGAAATAATATTCAATCGAACTTCTGGGCATTCATCCTTCAACTGGGTGAGGAAAAGGGGAAGAAGATGCTCAATAGTGCTGCAAAAAGGAAAAAAAAGGAGAAAATTTAGAAAACAATTTGCAACAGTGCAAGGAAGAAATAAACAATGGAACTCTGAGTTGACTTACTTGTGCTTGCCTAAGATAGGACTCAGACCCATGATAACTGAGGCGAGAGCACTTTTCACATGGGTGTTAGGATCTGCAACAAGCTCCTTCACCACAGGCAGGATACTGTTCATAATAATGTGCTCTCTCTGGTAAGGGTCGAGGCTCTGGCAGAAGTCTTTCACTTTGTGAGCTGCTGCAGCCCGTACTTCAGCTTCAGTGTCCTTCAGAAGGGTTTGGAATGCTGGCACCAGATCAAGTTTGGTGATGTCAGTTCCAACTGCCTTCTGGAGCTGTAGATGGGAAGGAAGGAAGAGGAATAGTTAAGGCTCAGCATTTAAACAAATTGAAACAATTCCACGTATGGCAAAATAATGGACATACCTCTGTGAACTTATCCGCCACCATGTAGCGCACTCGCCATGACTGGTCTCCAGAACACTGCCTCAGGGTGGGCATAACAAGCTGTTCCACATCTTCTTGTTGCAAAATTGTTGCAATGCTTACACAAGCCTCAACTGCCAGCAATCTGACAGAGTCCTAAACAATACAAAACCTGAGTAAGTAAAGGCAAAGACATAATACTGACTGTGGTAAGGTGAGAAACAAAATGTACCTGTTCATCCTGAGCCAGGTTGACAAACATGGGAATCAAATCCGACTTCAGGAATTCAACTTCAACAACCTTGGCAAATTCACCAAGTTTGCTTGCAGCAGCTCGTCGTACCATTGGCGTGTCATCTTGGCACAGGTTGCGGAAGTGTGTTCGGAGGTCAGCTGAAATGGGATAATGGCATGTAAAGAAACAAATGATGATTATGTAATACAGAAAGGAAAAATTGTTGCACATCAGCATATGAACCAACACAGTGAAAATAATCTACAAAACCCTCGTTAAATTTTGTAACAAGAGCTCAAAAGAAGTAAAGTCTTATCTCTCTTTCAAATCAATTAAGTCAGTACAGATGCTGGTACAATAATTAATTCAAGTTGCATACCTTTAAATGTTGGATTGACTCGTGGATAACAAACACTAAACAGACCACAAGCAGAGGTGCGTGAAGTGAACCAATCTCCAGAAGCAAGACGAGTTACAAGAGGAACAAAGTGAGACTCAAGATCCCCAGGTGAATGCTGCGCCGAGATAGTCCTCAAAGAGTCAACAGCTTTGTCACGAACAACTGTCTCTTCTACAGTTGCCAAAGATTCAAGAGGAGACTAAACAAGGAAAATAACAAACAAAATTAAAATAATGGTCCAAAATATTGAGAGCACATACAAAGAGAAACGAATTTGAAAACATTGTACAAACCAGAAGACAGTGGACATGTTCAGGGCCGCCAACCAAAGGTGTAAATGAACCTAGCTGCTCTGCAAGAGCGAGCAAAACTTCATCCTCATCATAGATGGTGTCTGTCAAGAATGGAATCAACTCAATTCTTGTGCGCTCCACACCTAAGGCAAGAGCAATGGTAGACAACTTCTTGATTGAGTTGAGACGAAGCTGAAACAAGCAAAAGTTGTACCAATTAGAAAATGAATGCAAGAGGCAGGAGTGCAAAAGAAGCATCATATTGTTAGTATGGTTACGGTTGCAAATAATTACAGGTGCATTGACTGTACACAATGAACTTGAACGAGACCTCAGGAAAGATAAGGACTTGAATGAATTTGGTAATTAAATTGAAAGGCGTAAGATCTGCAACTGTACACAAAAGCGACTTGTGATAAAATGTGAGCACCAGAATGGAGGAAAGACTTGGAGAGAGTGTTCCTAACCTCCTATGGATGGCAACAAAAACAGCAACAACGCAGATCAAGAGGACAGGGCACTTATCAAGGGTCTCGTGCAAATTAAAAGACGAAGAACGTGGACTTCAAAATGGTGGGCTCAATGACGAAAACTGCAGTAAAATATAGGCCTAAAGTGGGCGGCTCCAGCCCAGACCAGAGCCAAGGGCAGAACGCCTTGCAATACGCGTCCGCGCTCCGCGCCGCTCCCCGGCCCCTTCACCGGGGCCCACTACGCCCACGTCGACAGAACGGGAACGGGACCCCCGCAATTACCTGAACGTCTTCATTTTTCAGTTCGTCGATCAAAACAGCGATCGGATACAACGAATCGTCCGTTGTGGTATCGCTCGCAGCCATTTTGCGCTCAAGGGTCCCTTCACTTCACAACCTGAGCAGCCGACGGTGTTGCGTGATTTGGACGGCTTTTCGGACGGATCGCCGAAAGGCTAATGATGCGTTGCGGAGTCGACACGAGACGCTGATGCACTTTTGTTTACGAATTCACTAAAAATTACTTTCAGCGCCAATTCATGGCATTCTGACACCACTTTCGACCAAGATAGACGACGAGGGAGCTCAGCCCGACGAGGGAGACAAACAAGTGAGTCAACACGCGTGGTACCGACCGCTGCCGCCGCGCGCACGCAGCGCTGCTGTTTGTCCCGGACGCGCCAACTGGCAGCACGAAAAGCGATGCCGATTGGAGTTCAGCCGGCCCCATTCTGGACTGAAATTTCTACCCCAAGCCGAGAAAATCCGAACCAACTTTGAAAATAATTTCGGAAGTCTTGTTCTATGCGCAAAACGTTTCGATAGTGTTACCTTTTCGCCTCCAGCAGTTTGACCGGAAACGTTGTTTGAGCGCGCGTTTTTGCATTGACTACGAATTGAACTTATATTCGGGCTGCACCCCGAGCCCGAAGGCCTGGGCCTGGGCCGTTAGCTACTCAACATTTACTGATGCACGTGGGGAAGTGCATCTGTTTGGATTGCAGAGGTAAAAAAGTAAGTCAGGGCAAAATTCTCCAACAAATAAAATATATTTCAAAGATTATAACAAAGAAAATGCAGAGGACCTTAAATCTGACTCAATTTAACAAAACATCTTAATCTAGAAAAACAATGCTAGTAAAATCCCTCATTTTCGAACATCAGACCACTTTTTATTGCTTTTATTATTGTGACGCTCATACGTGTTCAAGAGAGTCTTGGATAGCGATTGGGACCCATGGTCAAACAATTCTTCATTCATTACTCTCTGCAAGTAGAGATGCTGCAGCTTGAGATGAAGCAGTTAAAGGGGGTGGTTCAACAGAAGCTACTACAGAACTGGTGTCACTGGTACTGCTAACTTTTAATTCTGTGGAGTCCAGGGTACTTGGAACCGTGACTTCTTCTTGGCTGGGAGGAGACGCCTCATTCAAATGAAGGTTTTGCAATGGAGGTAACTCAACTTTCACAGGAAGAAGGTGACTGATAGAATCCAACACAATTGAACGATCCAAAAATGTTATATGCTGAAAAAAAAAAAAACAAAGGAAAGGAAAAAAAATCTTGTACGAAAAAAAATAGTTAAAAAATTCTACATGGAGTGGTGAGCAGTGTCTGTAAGTTACCTCTTTTTGCAGTTGGTGAACATTCACACCAAGGTGAGTTGCAATTGTTGCAGATGGAAAAACAACATGAAGGCAGCGTTGAAGGAAAGGCAAAAGATGGTCAGCCATACACGCACAGAAACGAGTAAATGCTTCCTTCTCTGTGGATGTCAGAGCTTGCTGCTCCTATAAAAGAAAACAAATTCCCAAGGATGAATGTGGGGGGTAATCCCAGCAACTTTAGAAATGATGGTCTTTCACCATTATGATATCTTTACCTGTCTATAAAATGTTAGCATGCTTTTTGCAACAGAGCAGAGTGACTCTTGCAACAAACTTGTTGCCTTAGCAGCCAAAGCGACAGGAGCGCACAATCTTATGTCGTTGAAGCACATAATTATGGCATTGCAATAGTCTGCTAATGGTCGGAACTCCAGCAATATTTCTGGAGGATGCTGCTGTTGTAATTAATGCATAATATCAATTTTTATATATTTTTTCAAGCATAGAAATAGAAATAAAAACCATTTGAATCCTCTGACTTACTTCATTACTGTCTTGCATTGATCCTAATGACCGAGCAATTGATGAATGAATTTTTGGTAGAGTAAAGTTTTCCATATCTTGCTCAAACTTCCTGGTTGCTTTGACAATGGAAACTTCAATACTTTGCTGTAGGGCTTTTACAAATATGGGAGCTAGAAGCCCTCTAAAATCAGCTCCCACCCGACTGAGAGACAGTCCAAAGTACATACACTGCCTGACCACTGAATCAAGAGATGAACCAACTCCATGAGCAAGGTCTTTCTCTAGGGTAGAGAGGAACTGCATCACCTAACATTATGAATATCAAAAAGAAGAGAAAGTAGAAATTAGCGTATCATGTCAAACAGAAAATTTGTCAATAAAATTTGAGAGGAATTTACTAACCTTCTCCATGATCCAGGAGTAAAATAGCGTGTTGTAATTGCTTGAAGAATGAGAGATGTCAGCTTCAGAATCACCAAATACAGCTCTGTATTGTGTGATTATACTGAATAAATGCACACGAGATAGTTCCACTGTTCGGCTTAGATGATGGAGGGCTGCAAAACAATGTTCCAGTCTGACAAGGCAGTTAAAGTTAACAGAGAATGTGATACTAAGAGCCTTTACCATCTTCTTTGGGTATTGCTGTTAACATAGCTTGGAGCCATGAGTCACGGCATTGCAGAAACTTCAATCTGAGCTCCACTTCAGAGAAAAGTTCCATCCGCCTCAGGTATCCCACAATTTGTAGCACAGATGGAAGGGGTAAATCAGTACGTAGAGTGGAGAGTAACTGTTGTAACATTGACAGCCATGCTGTCTCAACTTCATTTACCACATTCTGAAATACAGACAAGGAAATATAATTAAATGGGTTTTACTTTATTCTTCTTCAAAAGTCCATCCATGTAAAATTACTGATGAGGTATCACTTACAGCAATAATGGGAATATTGAAATGTTTCTTTCCAAGCCTCCTCACATAAGCTGCTAGTTCTAAAGCATCTTCATAGTTCCCATTTCGGATGCATGTGTCCATAAGTTGGGGTAGTTCTAGGATCTACAATCAGGACAAAGCATCCCAGCTAGAATTAGATGAAAAGTCCACTGATTCTATGCCAGACCGATGTCCTTTCGAACACCTAATTCTGACTGAGCATTGTGGTGCTGCACAAAATGAGAGAAGTAAATTTTCATTGTTAATATGATAATAATATACCTCGAGGAGTTGAGCATTACGAGTTAAGGTCAAGGAATTTAGCCTGCGGTGAACATTTATATCAGATGAGGATCGAACAAATTCTTGACAGTTCTGAGATAAACTAGGTAAACCCCTCAGCAAAGACTCTAAGCTTTCTTCCGACTTGTTTAACTGGAAATAAAGGAAAATTTTCGTAGTTAGTAAGTACTCATTAAGATTATTTATTAAATAGAGTTCATAATTGCAGGAAGAGTAACGCACCTTTTGGAAGGTGTCTCGTGAGCATTCAGCTGTCCGAATGAATGTTTTGTAATTAGCAAAGGCAAGATCTTGAGTTTGCGCCAACACAGCAGCTTTATCCTCAGTAAGGCGGTCGGGTTCTTTGTCTAATATCGAAGAAGTAGGAAACGTGTCATTCAAAACATAGATTCATGAGTGAGCAGCAAACCATAACAAATCATATAGGCATACTTAATTGATCTAGACTCATGGACCCAAGTCTTGGAACATATTGTATGAACTCTGGGTTATCACGCCATTCATCTATAATGGGACAAATGAAACCACTTGTCAAAGAAAAATAAACAATAATCGTCAGTTTAACCTTAACATTTAAGTGACAACAATACCTTTAATCCCATGGGGAAATACTATTTTGAGAATATTCTCGGTGTCGACGTCCATGTTATCACGAACAACAAACAAATAATACTAATCTAAACAAAATTAAGAGTATTTTGTTTAGGTTTCGCAGGAGCCCTTAACCTGCACTTCTGTGTCAGCGACAGCCGACACGACGGAAGCAGAAGGAACAGAGTGACCTCGAACGACCATTCGTTGCGTTGTTGGTGTGTGTCGATGACTACTGGAACAGCCCCAAGACAACATGGACGATGAACGGGAGATGGGCAGAACAGCATCAAGACGCAAAACTGCGTCTAATTTAACATTTTGTGTCAAAAAGGAGAAGGATGGAAAGTACAGAAAGGTTTGTTAGGTTTTGAACCAACCCTATATTTTTTTGTTGATTTATTATCCGAGAAACCATTTGTATACCTTGTTTGAAGTGAGTGGGTCGTCTGCACTTTCGTATATAAACACTTCGTTTCTAGCAGAATAACATATATTTCCTGTGTCCGAACGATAAAAATGTGGGTTTACAACATATCTTTTGACGTCTAGAGTTACAATTCAAACAAATGACCCGTTTCCTTCCTCCCCATTCGTCATTTTTCGATAGGGCCTACTCGTACTTAACCAACCAATTTGCAGTTTTCTCCATGCCATCCTAATTGCTCTCCATTCTTGAAATTACTCTCTAATGTTTGAACCCAAGTTTATTTATTCATTGCTTCATATTCAATAATATTTTCGCTCTTTTTATTTTATCCTCTGTTTCCAGGTATACTCAGCGCTTCAGAAAAAAGAAGATGATCTCACAGAGGAAGAACAACAATTAATTCTCAACAATGTAGACCTAGTAAAGAAGGCTCGTGAAAGGTGAATCTCTAGGAATAAAGGCTCATAAAATTGAAAAAATTTAATTGTCTAGTCTGCTTTTATGATGTTATCTTTTCTAACCCATTTCTGTTTCCATTTAGCTTAAGAAAACGGGAAGAGGTCAAAGCTCGATCGGAAGAAGTTGAGGATCCTGATGATATTCTTATTCCGAAGTGTACGGAGTTGGCTGCTGCATTGAGGAATTCACGCCATCTTGTTGTGTACACTGGCGCTGGAATCAGCACAGCTGCAAAGATCCCTGACTATCGTGGATCCAATGGGATATGGACTCTTCTGCAGCAAGGAAAGGACATTGGGTATGCATTTTGCAATTGACCTTTCATTGAAAGAAAAACATATGAATTAGCACAAGTTGATCTATTCTGATACATTAGTTCAAAGTGGCTAGGAGTACAAATGGGCTCAGAATTTCTGTTTTTCCTTAATTTATTGTTTCTTAATTAATTTTTTTGTCACTCAGAAAACATGATTTAAGTCAGGCAGAGCCAACCCTAACTCACATGGCCCTTTTTGAACTGTATTCTCGTGGAATTCTGAAGTATGTTGTGTCCCAAAACTGTGATGGCCTACATTTAAGGAGTGGTTTGCCAAGATCTGCCCTTTCAGAAGTACATGGAAATATGCATCTTGAAGTAAGTTTCTCACAATGTGATTGGCTCTTTTTTCTTATTTTGCACAGGCAATTCATTTTGTTGCAACCTTGCTTGTTCCTTTTAGGTTTGTCAGATGTGTCGTCCTAGCACACAGTATTGGAGAATGTTTGATGTCACGGAAAATACTGGCCGGTTTACTCATCGCACTATGCGCAGATGTCACTTATGTCATTCAGCTCTCATAGATACCATAGTTCACTTTGGTGAAAGGGGCAATTTACCGTGGCCTCTTAATTGGCCGGCGGCAAATAAGGCTGCTGATAATGCCGACACTATTCTCTGCATTGGATCGAGTTTGAAGGTGCGTCTTACTCCTTTCTAATGAAACGCTCTTGTCTTTGAGCCTTTTAATATGTATTACATAATCTGTTCTTTGTTTTGCAGGTTCTGAAAAAATATCCTTGGCTGTTTGGCATGGATAAGCCCGTCCGTAAACGACCAAAATTGTACATTATTAATCTACAGTGGACTCCCAAGGATGATCATGCTGTCCTCAAAATCAATGGCAAGTACTAAATGTGCATCACTCTTGAAACATTACTATTTGAATATTGGGATGGGGCAAACTGCCATAATGACAGCTTTTGTTGGTTTCACCTTTTATTTATAAATCCTTTTTGTGATTAGGTCGTTGTGATCGAGTTATGCAAGAAGTGATGAAATTGATGAGCTTGCAGATTCCGGAGTACTCTCGTTTAAGGGATCCTATTTTCTGTCATGCAACTCATCTTCATCCTGATGAATTACACACAACATCACAGCGTGAACTTGATAGTCTTTTTAAAAAGGAAGAAACCAACTTGGAAGAAGAAAATGGTGTTTTGAAACAAAATTTGAAAAGGAACAATTCTGGCTATGATGCAGATTGCCCTACAAAAGTGAGGAAAATGGACTGTGATTCTGATGTGCTGACTGATGTCAAAAAAGAATTTTTGAATGTGATGGGAAATGATGACCCCCGATTCTCTGCTTTCTCAAAGTTTATGCATGATGAAAATGATGCTTTGATTAATTTATCAAAGAGTAGAAGTTCAGTCAGTGAAAATAGTAGTGCCCTGAAAATTGCAGAAGGGCATATGAGCGGAAGAAGCAAATTTGTGCTCAAGGATAAAGAAGTCAAACAAGAGGCTTTGGATGAAGATCAGTTTCCTGTGCATAACCAATCATCTTTACTTGGAGGTGAGCTGTTAACTTCTTGCTCACAAAAGGAGGAAGTTGTGGATCAAACCAATATCTGTGAGGATGTAAAGAACTCTGGTGTCAGTTCTGTACATTCTAAGGATGACTGTGCTTCTACACTTAACATTGAGAAGAAAGTGGAAGAAGTAAGACTGAGTATTTTATCAAGTGGCCTAAATAGTTCTGGAAGCATGAATTCTGATGCTGTTGTCTGCTCAAAAGTAAATGTTGAGAATATTACAGCTGATATCTCCTCTATTGATGGGAAGGAAAATGTTGCAGTGTGCGTTTCTAAAGGAAGTGCTATTGAATCCACTAAAGCTTTAAAAAAGGTGGAATGTGAGAAAACAGCTGATATTGTGATTGACTCTGAAAAAACACAAAACATCGGTAGTAACACCATTCAGTCAACTAAGAACGATAATTTATTGGATAATTTTGGATCTCTGAAAGGACAAAAGCACAATGGTAAAGGAAACAGTGAGGGTACTGAAGATGAGGTTGTGGTTTTGAAAATGTTACAATTAGAGCATAACTACAGTAAATCGTCAGATGATTCTAATGACAGTAAGAATTCTGATTCAAAGGACTCAAAGCAACAGTTGAAAGGTGAAACAAAAGATCCTAAAAAAGATTTCAATTCAGGTTCGAGTGAAACAAGAAGGACTCTTCGGAGAACTTCAAAGGACGCTGTGAATTATATAGAGCCAGATGAAGAAGATTTAGATGATGACGAAGACGATGAAAGTGAAGAAAGTGATAAGCAATCAGCCTGCTCTTCTTCTAGAGTTAAAGCAAAACAGAGTGTGAAGAAACAAGAACTGAAAAATGATAAACTTTCAAAGGCTGAAGCAAGAGATGTAGGCAATAACACTGGGCGGGCTAAAAAGCTGACTGAAAGCAGCAGTAGTTCTTCGAAACACAGCAAGCCCTCACCTCCCCTGAAGAACAAGAAGCTAACAAAAGCAGACTTTGAAATGAGAGTTGAACTCAAGTCAAGGGCCTGCAGTTTTTGTTCATGTTACTATATGTCTAAAACTTGCTTGTTCTATCCAAGTTTGGACTTTCGTCCGCGGCAGTTTGAAGGGTGCATTTGTGAATGTTGTGACTACAGCAGTGAGAGTGAGGATGCTGAAGAGGAAGGGAGTAATGGGGAAACTAATGAAGGCAAAGGTGACAGCACAGATAATGCAGATGAATGTACTTCCAAATCGTCTATAATTAATCCAGGTTGGTATGGTAAGGGATGCCGCAAACGCATCATTCGTAAAAGAAAATAATAAATCCATGGAATTGAAAGAAAAACAGATGTCCCTTGGTACAGATTTTAAATGCAAGAAAAATATGTTTAAAAATTGCTGTGTTCCACTATCTTCTATCAATTTCACTTTAAATCTGTATTTAATGATTGTGTGCTGACACATTGAAATAGTGGTCCGTCAACATCTTTCCTCCTTTTAATTTATTCTTGTAGGGTCTTTTGTCTGTTTTGATTCGTGTGTGATGATTACTTGAAATACTTGGGGAATACTTTGCCTGACATTCAATTTATCATGTTGTAATTGTTGCGTGTCTGAAGGGTATTATTTAAATAGGATCTAGGAATCATCTCAATCTATAGACTGAAAAAGTTGCAATAAGTTGTTAATTCAACAGATTAAACTTCTGTTTGTTGCCAACTTTAGGAAGTTTGTCTTATTCATACTGTGAACAGCTCTAATATTACCTAATATTACTTACTTATAGATTTAATAGATCTCATGCAGATAATTTCATCTGATTACTTCTTAGCTTAGAATGAAGGTTTGAATTGAAAACTCATTTGTCTTGCATCAAGGAAAATGTTCTTGCGTTTTTTAAATCTTTTGCCCCAACAGTTTTAGTCACAGAGTTGATCAGAAAGTTTAAGTGTTGGTAAGTAAAACCGTCCAGGGTACCATGGATGCACTCTTAGGGTTCATGTTTTGCAATTTCTCCAATCAAAGAGACTGCTGAGCAAAATTTTTAAGGCTTCAGTCTTAAGAAAAAGTTTTTGAAAATAAGTACATATTTACATCACAATTTTGTCCCCCTAATATGTACTGTGAATGGTATTTAAGAATGGGTTCCATGTTTTGAGGTTTGTGTATCCCATTAAGACACACTACCTTCCATTTTTCTATGAAGTGATAATAACTTTAACAAAATCTGTTTAATATTATTTGTTTATATTTATCAGTTTATTTATTTATGTTTTTTTTTTTCTTTTTTATTCTTTTGCAGCACAGTCACAGTTATAAGCTGTACATTAACATCTTTGGTGTGGCTGTGTTTTGCAAACTTCTTTAATTTGTATGTTCTTGTTTCTCAACTTTGTGTTTAGAGTTAAGGACATCTTCACCATCTGTTGCGTCATGAACTTGCTTTTACCAAATTATCTGGATGGCTTCGTATCACCCCAAATGTGGTTGAGGTGTGACAAAATGATACGTAATCCTCATTAATTAATGTGTTTTCCCTAATTTTGTGCATTATTTTACTGTGCAATGATCCCATAGAATCTTTGGCTTTAGAGATTGTGTAGAAAACTTAACTCATTGGTTAAAAAGTAACTGCATTCTTCAAAATTGAACAAACAATGAATTTAAGTTACTACCAGCAGAAGAAGTTGTTCACCACCACTCAATGACACAATGTTTTTCTGTGATTATTTGGTCTCATTTTGTGAATGAATTTATGGTGTTAATAATCTGATTGTTTGGTAATAAAATTTACCATGACATAGTCTGGCACTTTAATTGTTCCTCTCAAATGCAATACCACCTTGGTAGATCATAATCCAAATCACAATGCATACAAACATACAAAATTGCTTGGGAGCAAAATGGGCGCTAAGAGCGCTAAGAGCCTAAACTCACATCACTTAATTAAATGAGAGTTGGTGGATAAATAACACTGATTTTGATGCTCTTGCTTTTAATCCAAAGAGATAGACACTCTTCCAGTACAATGTTGGACCACCCAAACAGGACCTGGAGCAGAGGCTCCAGTATTTACATAGTTAACACATACACTTGGAGGGTGGTACACCTCATCTTCTAACTCAAATTGTAAACAACCATTATTTCTGTCTGATAATTTGAAAATTTGTTAGAATAAGTACATGTCTTTGTAAATTCAAAAATAATAATGAATAGTTTCAGTCAAAAATTATACATTAAGTTTAAAAAGTAACAGCCTTTTAAACCAGGTGGATTGTGTACTGTTGTGCTTCTGCAAGCACGCAATCTTCCCGAACACTCTTCCTTGCAGACCTTAGAGTCCCTGGGAATGGTGGAAGAGGAAACTGTGCGAGCGTATTTTGCTAGTGGGATTGCATGATTACAAAGAAGCACGGCTGAACCGAATAGCCTGGTAGATGATAGGAATATAGATTGTAAAAATAAGGCCTATAACAATAATTATAGCATTTTTCCTTTGGCAAAGAAAATGGTAAAAACAATGATTACTAACACACTAGGTCTAACAGAAAAAAATTATAATAACTACAAAATGAAAACACCAGTCAAACAAACTTCTGTGTAAATCTAGCATTACTAAGTACTCACCAGTACTAGTACACACAGTCCACATATCAGTTTATTTATGGAGCGAATTCATGCTAATCAGATCACAACCCATAGCATAATAAATTGATAACTTAATTATGTTTTATAATGCAATTATACAACAAATAAGCGTAAGTCTTGAAAAAAGTATTGTCATGCAAAGAAAGACATATTCATAATGTACATATACATGTACACATACAAAGATACATGCGCATCGCATAAGATTAATACAGCTCATATAACTCAAGACATAACAAGACGAGAATTCATACAGCAGTACGTATGTTTAATATAAATGCTACAAAAATCACATATCACTTTTTGTTTTTTGGAACAGTAAACTTTTAGCTAGCAAACAAATTCACAAATACAAGTAGAATACATGCTGCAGCCCATAAAAGAACAATCACAACCCAAAAGGTACCTTGAAAAGGTGATGCAAAAACATTTTGTACATCTCCAGAAGACAATTTTTTAACCTCCCTTCGAGCAAAGAACACAAGTAGTGCTGGAATAATGTACTGGATTCCGGCACCAGCAAAAGATCCAGTAATCCGAACTAGAATTTCAAGATTTTCTGAAATTAAGGCCACCAGAACAGGGGGTATCTGAAACATGAAGAAATCCAATAATAACTGCTATTTACATGGCTGTTAAACAGAGGACCATTGTCAAACTTATCAAAGGCTGAACTCACCACAGAAAGAAAGGGGAACAACAAGCGCTGCACTACCCAGGGATAAGATGTAGAATTACTTCCAAGCGTTGCATTTTGCAAATTATTTCTCAATGTGATTGCAATTATGGGAAAACTAGTGCTCAGGGTGAAAACTGGGAAAAGGGCTAAGAAATACCCAATAATTCGCATAAGTAATGAATCTTCCAAGTTGGATGAAGAACAGCGTGGGTTGAATACAAGAGTATAAAGCTCATCAGGATGAGGGAAAGCAAACACCCCAGTGAGTGATAACAAAAGGTAGAAACTTGCAATTAGTATATAATCCATAGCTAGAAGCCTGAAAGAAAACAAAGATAAATTAAAGAAATTGTTGTAAGTTATAAGTAAGCAAAAACAAAATTTACTATTGACAGGTTAGCTGAACTGTACCTTTTAATGTGGGTTGTTCCGGAAATGGGAGCTACCAGACCAGGGAGGGAATGATGGCACATGAAAGAGTAAACACTTGCACCCAGGAGAGCTGGCAGGCCCCTAATATTAGCTATATTAGGATGGCCCTCTGGACCTTTCAGTATCAATTGCCTCACAGCCAGGCTTATCATCACTGAGAATGCTGGATTCAAGAAATATAAAGGAAAACATATACAGATTCAGGTTTATGCAACCGTAATTACTGATGTTTTGTTTTTTGCAATTTTTAGTACATACCAAGCCACCTCATGAAAGATGTGAATAGTTGAAGATACTTTGTCTTTTGCACATTGAAAAAGGCAAAGGGTCCTATGAATCCTAAGAATGTGGCCTGCAAGAATGCAATACCATTTCTGTCAATTACTTTCTGCATTCTGCTCCCAAATAAGATGAAATGAACAAATACTTACGACTAGTATTCTGTACATGGAGAGACGTGTCATGGGAAACCCTTCCCAGCATTCCGTGTCTGGGGGAAGATCATCCCCACATGTTGCATTGGAACTTGGCTCATAAGTGCTAAAACAAATTTATTGGGAGAAAATTGTCAACTTAACAATGCAGCATGTACTCTACCATTCAACCCAGAACACAACTCTTACCATACAACATCACTAAGAGATTTAGATACAACTGCCGTATAAATAGCTAAATCTCCATACAAGTAGATTGCAAAGCAAAAGAAAAATAAGAACTGTCCAAAGCGACCAAAAAACATATTAGCCATGTCACCCTGCAAAAGATAAATGTAAATTTTAAGAAACTGCAGGCATTTTATTTTATTTTCAATGATGGGAAGTCACACAGACCATTTCTAGCTTTTCATTCAGACTGAAGAGTTGCTGAGGCTGGCTTGGAAATCTGTCAACAGCATCTGGACGACCAGCAGAAAACCTCTTTTATGTATCAACCAAAGGAACAAGAAAGAATACCAGAATTTCATGAGAAAGGACATTAGCATACCGTCAGTTGAAGAAACCAGTGGTGCATCCTCGTTAAACTCTTCTGCTCCATCATCTTCAGTTTCTGACTCATGGTTGACCTAAAGAGGATGGAAATTAAGGTGGCTGATAGTGAGGCAGTTAATGAAAGCGCAAAACACCACAAAAAATCAAATGGTAAAGATATTTGATCTAAAGCAACCAAACAAAATGGATAGATGATATTTTCCAAAATAAAAATGAAGTAAAAGGAGTTAAAATTAAGTAAGATAGAAACAAAAAAATAAAAAGCATTTTTACCCGTGCAATTCTACGGCTTACTCTTGCTAGCTGCTTCATCCTTTTGTATCGGGCTATGAAATTGGCACAGGAAATAGCTTCCAGAACAAAGGTTGCAGTAACGAAGCTGAAATAAAATTAAATATTAACAAGTTGCACAGGAACTGAAGCATCCCACATAAATTGAAACTTTAAACCTTACCTCACAAATGCTAGGATTATGATCAATGCTAAACCAAGGCCCCAGCCAGCTTTCAGAAATGAATGGGGTAAGGTAAGGGCCCCTGTACCAACAATTAGGTTGAATATGTACACCAAACCCGTCTGCAAAAAAAAAAAAAAAAAAAAAGAATTTTACACACAAAGAAATTAAGAAATAATGACAGATAATTAAAAACAAGGTTCAAGATAGACAGTGAACAATAGCAACTGATATGTAATACCAAACATAAACAATGACAGGTGTCATAGAGGTTATGTTACACAATAATAAAGTCAGTTATACTGTGCATTTTGACAAAAGTGAGGGTGACACATTGGCTTCCTTTTTCGATAATGAGGAACAAAACATTGCGAAACGGCGGATTAAATTAATGACAGCGAAAAATAGGAAAACTAACCCATGGTGAGTATTGGTTGTCTGCTGACAGGACGAGGGGCATCTTGATCTGGTTGTGGGGAAGGCGGCCTACGCCCCAAAGCAAAGGTTGCAACGCGTACTCGGCACTGTCGCTCTGCAGGCCCGCATTGCTCGAGCAGCAACGTTTGTGTATTCAACGTAAACAGACGAGAGCATATGGGAACTGCAACCGTGTACTACTGCACAGAAACTCTGTCCACTACTGCAGCGGGGGTGGGGTGGGGGAGGGGGCGTATTGCTGAGCCGCTGCCAACCGCACCACGCCAACTTCCCTCGCGAACGGTTGTGCCGTGCGAGCTCCTCCTGGCTCCTCCACTACCCGTCTGGCAAACGCTAAGATTTACTGAATTTACTACCGCGCCGTCAAGGCTGATTCGTCAGTCTCACAGAAAATTTTAACTTGAGTACCAGAGATGCTATAGAAGCCTTTCTATTTTTGAATGCTTGTCATTCAGAGGCTCTAAGAAATTTTGAAGTCACTCATTCTCCTCAAAGGCATCTTGAGGTACCAATTGCATCAGTAATTATGTAAAGATAATTGTGTAGGGGAGAAAGTGTTGGGACAGCAAATTGGAACACATCATGTATTAAATAATTGATAATGTTTTATTTCCCATCAATGAATTCACACTTCTGCACATGGGAATAAATTAATACTTTGGCCTAGTGCACTTAGTGATCACGATGAAAGGATTCAAAGGAACCCCGAATGCTTTAAATATTTAGGAAACAGCCATTACACTCATGAAAATTCCCTGAAAATGTTTTAAGACGTCTTTCCAAAATATCTTACATGATGAAGTTGAGCTTGAACGGTCCACTTAAAAGCAAAGTTTAAAAATGAACCCACCAGACTGAAGGTGACCTTAAATACTAGATGTTTCAAATAAAATAAAGGCAGCCCAACAGTTTGTAAAAGAATGAAACATAAAAAGATGGAATCACTTTTATAATACAACTGCATGGTGACGATGTTTGATGAGATGGCCGCCTGCCACTTCTGTCCGGCACACCCCTTGCCATAGGAATGTAGAACAACGTTTACAAAGTCATGGTGAAAATAATTAGAAGCACTTCCTGTGGACAATGGAGGGGCCAGACTCGTCGTACTCTTGCTTGGAGATCCACATCTGCTGGAAGGTGGAGAGGGAGGCCAAGATGGAACCACCGATCCATACGGAGTATTTCCTTTCAGGGGGAGCGATAATCTTGATCTTCATTGTTGATGGGGCCAGGGCAGTGATTTCCTTCTGCATGCGGTCAGCAATACCAGGGTACATGGTGGTACCACCGGACAGGACAGTGTTGGCGTACAGGTCCTTACGGATGTCGACATCGCACTTCATGATGCTGTTGTATGTGGTCTCGTGGATACCGCAAGCTTCCATACCCAGGAAGGAAGGCTGGAAGAGGGCCTCGGGGCAACGGAACCTCTCGTTTCCGATGGTGATGACCTGACCGTCGGGAAGCTCGTACGACTTCTCGAGAGAGCTTGATGAGGCGGCGGTGGCCATCTCCTGCTCGAAGTCGAGGGCGACGTAGCAAAGCTTCTCCTTGATGTCACGAACGATTTCACGCTCGGCGGTGGTGGTGAAAGAGTAGCCACGCTCAGTCAGGATCTTCATGAGGTAGTCTGTAAGGTCACGGCCGGCCAAGTCCAGACGAAGGATGGCATGGGGCAGGGCGTAACCTGAAATGAAAAAGACAGTGTGTCAGCACAATTTGCAAGCCAAGGGCCATCGACAAAGGTCAGGCTGAAAAGTACATACCTTCATAGATGGGGACGGTGTGGGAGACACCATCACCAGAATCCAGCACGATACCAGTGGTTCGGCCAGAGGCATACAGGGAAAGGACAGCCTGGATAGCGACGTACATGGCTGGTGTGTTGAAGGTTTCAAACATGATCTGAAAGAGAGAAACAGGTGAATTAGGAAACAAGTTACACAATACAACAGTTTCAACACAAGAACAATCAATCATGTACAAATGAATCTTACTTGTGTCATCTTTTCCCTGTTGGCCTTGGGGTTCAAGGGAGCCTCTGTGAGCAGGACGGGGTGTTCCTCAGGGGCAACTCGCAGTTCATTGTAGAAGGTGTGGTGCCAGATTTTCTCCATGTCGTCCCAGTTGGTGACAATACCGTGCTCAATGGGGTACTTGAGGGTGAGGATACCTCTCTTGGACTGGGCTTCGTCTCCTACATAGGAGTCCTTCTGTCCCATACCAACCATGACACCCTGGAAACAGAAAAGACGATACGTCAGAACTCGTCTACATGCAAACGTTTCGCATGGGCCAAAACAAAACGACGCCTTACCTGGTGCCTTGGTCGGCCGACGATGGAGGGGAAGACGGCCCTGGGAGCGTCGTCTCCGGCGAAGCCGGCCTTGCACATACCGGATCCATTGTCCACAACGAGGGCGGCAACATCGTCGTCACACATTTTGATAAGTTAGGTTTCTGCACAGACAAAAAACGAAAACGTCAGTACACAGAGCAATGGAGAAACTTGGGCGTGGGAAGCACGGCGGTGGGAGGAGCGAGAGCCTCGTGGCGTCCCCGGAGCCACACCCTAACGGCCGGATTCGGATTCACCCAAGACCGGCGCGGCGCGCCCTTCGCTTCGCGGTGCAAAAACGGCCGACGCGTCCACGCGACGCCAAACTAGGCGGAATGGCCTACTAAACCGGCTCGCCCGGCGCCCAGATTCCGAGCGCGGCCCGGAGCCACGGCGGCAGCGAAGAAGGGCTTCGACCTCTGGAACATTCCAGCCCAAGACGCCGCGCCACGCCAAGCGCTGCGCCGGGCTGGGCCGGGCCGACAGCCCACCCAAGCCAAGCCAAGCAGAGGCTGCACGGCACGCTGGGCGGAGCGTGGACCCGGGCCCTGCCGTCCCTGCCGCTTGCGACGCAGCCCAGCCCACCGCCGGACGAACCGGCCGGACGAACCGGCCGGCCTGGCTGAGGCGGGGCGGGGCCGAGAAGCCACGCCAGCAGCACAAGCCAGTACACTAGGAGCCTTCACGTTTTCGAAAAAGTCTTTCAAGTCGCAGCAGCCAAAGTAATCCAAGCCAGGGCGGCTGAGCTGGGCGGGGCCACAGGCCAAGTTCACTGAGCACTGCACACGATCGAAGAGTAATCCAAAGACGCTGAGGTAGTCCAGGGCGCGCGGGTCACACCGAAGCCACTTGCCGCACAAATTAGGAACCGGAATGGTTCTGAGAAGCACTGCATTGAATGAGGGCCAGGCCCGAAAGGGCTATGGAAAGCTGAGGCCAAGCCATCTAGGCCAGGCCCGAGCCCCACCCATGCTTGAGCATCACACCCAAGCCGGCAAAGGCAAAGTCACAACACGGCCGAATCCAGGCGGAATCCAAATCACAACACTATCACAGGCAGCAGGCTCCCATAATCCAAAAGTCGGAGATGGCACACGCACAAGAAACTTACTAAGTTAAACGAAAGGAAAGGTATGTACAAGAGATGGTGTTCGACTACGCGATGGTGGCACGAGACTGACTCGAGTGGCCGACCGTTGGAACAGTAATATAATATAAAGGCGGATACCTCCCTCCCCTCCAGGGACGCTGCCCCTCCCCCCTCCCTCCACCCACTCCAGCCGGCACCCCCTCCCTTCCCGCCCGGCTGCGACGCGGCCGCTCCCTCCTCCCCCCGCGCCTGCCCCCCCACCACCGAGCACCAGGTCCCTCTCCACCAATAGCAGCTTTCTTTACCATATATGGTATTGAGTGGGACTAGCTAGGCAACCCGCCACACGGCAATGCTGCCAACCGAAACTTTCGTGGCCGTGAAAAAATGGAAGGTCGTGCTCAACGGCGTCGGCACGCGTCTCTTCCAAAACAGGCGGCACACTAGAAACGCGAGTGCGATCCCCGAGAAAGAGAACCCAAACGCGGCCGCGCACACTATGAGGGCGTCCGAGCCAAGCGGCCCGCGGCCAAGCGTACAGGTTAGGTTCCACGCGAACGCTGGACGCCGCGGCCTCTGGGCCGGCCAAGCCTCTGGACACGTACTGGACAAATTCACTCCCTGATCGTGGAGGTCGCGAACGCCTGAGCCGCTGCAGGACCAGCCGCGAGGGTGGGGGCCCAACCGCGCTAAATATAGCTAGAACCACCTGCAAACGCCGATCCGACCACCTGACGGCCGATGTGCCACGCCAACGCTCCGCTTCTCTAGAGGCAGAGTAGAGGCGTCCCGGCCACTGTGGGACTGAACCAGCGCCTTGAATTTCAGCCCACAGACGCGGCACTCGCGGCAGCACAAGCCAAGCCCAAAGCTGGACGGAGGCACCCACCCGAAAACCGCGCGACAGAAACCGGCGTCGCGAGTCGCGAGGTGGCTTTGTTGAGCTTGGTTGCCGGCTACTGGCGGTCCTCGCGACACGAATCTCACTCTCGGAAGGCACTCACTAACACTGGCACTGACTGGACGAAGATCCCACACGTTCCCACGACCCAATTTGCACTAGCAGGTCGCCAAATGGGACACTTACCGTCTACGGGGACACCGGACACGGCTGATCGGCACAAGTTTGTGGCTGCGAGTGGAGTGAGCCCGGAGACCGCTGGGAGAGCGTTTGTGTAGGCACGGCTCGCCACGGCCCGGCGGTGGAGGGGGGCCGGACGACAGGGCGTGTTCCGACACTTTATTTCGACGATTTTAACCGCAAATACGCACCGCAAGTGCGAGAAACGGTCGCCAGTGTTCGAAAAGAGACTGTCAATAATCTCGCGATAGCTGTTTTCCCGAACTGTACGCGCAAAGCCCAAGAATTCCCTGGCGGAGATGAATGGGCTCGCCCACCTTCCCCTCCACCGGCGCTCGGCATGTTCCATATATGGGCATAAAAGGAGCGGCGGCTCCTGATTGGTCGAGACGCCGCTCGGTGTACAGTTTGAATCGACGGCGAGAGGTTCAAAGTAACCGACGGAGTGTCCGCCGGGCCCGCCGCCCTTCCCTGCCGCGCAATGGATCGTGTCATGCAGATATTAATTGTTAAGCTTCTCCCAGATTACGTATCGGAAAATTTTCTGTCCGCCTGTCAGCTTTTTCAGACGCGGCTGAAATGGCGCTGCCGCTGGCGGCGCTGAGAAATACGACAGGAGAAACGAAACGGCAACGGAGGATTTTTTTTATTTTTCACTATATTTCCCGGCGAGTCATTTTGCCCAGCGTGTCATGCACCTGCGGGAAAATCGTCGGCTCGTCTCCGAACCGCCGGGGAAGCTGTTACTCGCAATCTGTGCGAAAATAAAGCTAAAGCCCCCGTCCGCGAGCTCCAGCAGCGCGGCGGGCGGCGCGCGTTGAGGTTATGGTGCCACTGGGCGCGCCGGCGTTGGCGCGGCTCGCCACGGCTAGTTCGCGGCGCGGTGTGGCGAGGTGTGGCGGAGCGTGGCCGCCTGGTCTCAGAAGCCAGGCGTGTCCGAGGGTTTAAGGTTTAAGGTTTAAGGTTGGACGCTCAACGAACGGCTCTGTCAAGCATGAGCCTCTCACTGTTACTTAGTGAGGTTGATGGGCAACACAGGGGGCCCTTAGTCCGCAGAGTGCGGCTCCGAAGAGCCACTCTCCGCTGCGCGCGTACAACTGGGCTGACTGTCAACCTTGTGGTACAGTCGGGGTTTCCACCCTCCCAATCTACTGCCCGCGCCATACCGTCGTCGCAGCAGCCGAGGGGTGCGTGTACTCACAGACCGCTCGTCCGGCGCCTCAGGTGTTGCAGTGCCCCGTTAGGGACACTGCGGGGGGGTCCTCCCGAGGGGACCCCCTGATTAGTTGTTACAGATAGCCAGGCAAGCCTAGCCGCTGTTTGGCCTAGTCCTGCGGGACAGTCCGTAGGCGCGGAGGGAGACACCAGATTTCATAGGTCGAAGGCCGGAGCCGCATTCCCATCCATGAGGTGCCTCCCTTTGGGAGGGGTACCGGGTTTCACGGGGCGAAGGCCGTAGCCGCATTCCCATCCACGCGGTACCGCTCCACGTTGGTACGTTTTTGCCACCATGAGATGACAGGCCCATATCGCCGGCGATAAGACACGTGTAGTCACATGACTAGCCATACGACACAGGGCACAGCACCCTTGTCAGGGGTACCGCGGGTGTGACTTCCGAGCGGTCAGGCCCGGCACCCTTTTTTGCAGGTCGGGGAAACACCAAACTTCACGGGTCGAAGGCCGTAGCCGCATTCCCATCCATGAGGTGTCACCCTTGAGTCGAAAAGTTTGGCTGCAAGAGAGTATTAAGCACACAACACAAATAATACCACAAGACCAGCTGCCGACCCCTACCGCCAACAGGCCTAGGCTATAAGAGTTAGCGTGGGCAATCCACCACGACGCTGCCGAATCTGGCGCGCAGAAAGTAAAAGTGCAGGGCTCGCTGATCTGCAAGGAAAAGACATGCGACATGCAAATGGACCAGCGCCCCCACTGGGGCCAAGGCCACCACCGTGACCACTGGCTGGAAGGGGAGGAGGGCGGAGGGGGCGAGAAGGCAATATACAAGGAAGGAGCGCCAGCGCGAATGAGAGAGAAAGAAGGGACGAAGAAGGAGCGAGCGGAGCCCCACCCCACACACGCCTGGCCCACCACACACGGGCGAGGGGAGGGGGAGGGGGGGGGTGCGAGGACCAGGCCTGCTCGCCGGACTAGGCCTAGAGCTGTAAATGAGCGTGAAAAACACAAAACAACGTGCGACGCCCTCGCCCTAAGGCGGGGCGGGAGGAGGGGAGGGGGGCCGCCCGGGCTGCGCGCGGCCAGAAGAAAAAGGAGAAAAACAAAACCAGAGCAGGCACTTATCCATAGGCGGCGTAGGTGTCCTTCCTCGGCTGCTGCTGACTCCAGGCTGGGGTGCGGGCGCGGGGTGGTCCTGGTGTAGCTACGCCACACGCCGAGTTGTGGAGGGGAGCGACAGGGGGCTGGCGTGCCCACGCCGGCCGCTGGCTTGCTGCGACGCTCAGGAGAAACCAAAGCGCAGTGGGCGCTTTCCTGAACGATTCGTTGAACACGGCTGAACGGCACAGTTGATGAGCGGCGACACTCGGCCACTGAACCGTCGAACACTTGGTAGGACCGATTGCGCAATGAACAAAACCACTGATCTTCACAACATGGGGCACTGACACACTACACTGACGCCGGCTGGACACAGGTCACTGTTGCTTGAGGTACCGCTGCCCCTCCGCAGGCCTGCCGGGCGCGTGAGCGCTGGGGTACGCCGGGCCGGGCCGGCTGGAGGCTGGGGCTGGGACGCTGCGACGCACACACGCTGCCACATGTGCGGGCGGAGGGACGCTGGAGGCCGGGTAGACAAAGGGCCGAACACTAATTTGCACAAAACTCGAACACTGATGCACCGATCGTCGCGAAACTTCGACCCTCGACGCACTGGGTGAACACGGACCGACCGATACCACACTCGACCCGGAAAACCGACTTTGTACCACCAAAAACCAAGGACGAACACGGAGCCGACGCTAAGCGTGTCCGCCCGCCACCGGGGCCTCCCCCCTCTCCGCGTGTCCGAGGGCATGGACAGGAAAAGCTGACGGCTAAGCCGCCTTCACCTTCGGGACTTCCTCCTGAGGATCCTGAGGCTGTTTGCCGGTCCGGGCGGCTGGGGCGGATCCCCACGGTCAGTCCTCCTGGAAAACAAGAGGCAAATACGAGGTTCCCGACGGTGCCCGCGCACTGGCGCCGAACTTCCCCGCGACTTGACCGCCGCCTGCCACTACACTTGTCACGGGCGTCGCGGCCGGCGGGGGTGTTTAATTGGGCAAGGTGACTTGCCCTGCCCAGCCTGCCTTGCCTAGCCGTCGGAAGCTTTAATTCGATCGCCGGGAGCTGGGTCACGTTTAGTGGCAGCGGCCAGCCAGGCGCGCAGCTCCTGCCCCGGGCAAAGTCAAAAAAGCATACTAAAGTGTTTTCGGGCCGCTCCTATCGCGAGTCGTGACAGTGTCGTGACACGGAGCGCGCGGAGCGGAGCGCCAAGGCTGCCCAAGGCGTCGGACAATCAGACTGTCAGCGGCCCAGCAGCAGCACCCAGCAGTAGCGCCAAGCGTCGCAGTAATCATTTCGACTGACTCTGAGAGGCGCATTTTCGTCGCGCTGTCTCTCTCGCACTCATGGGCGGCACAGGTGCGAGAGCGTCGAGAAAAGACTCTCGGAATCTGGCAAGGCTTTGTTTTTATCCTTCCAACCTGACATTTTGGAGAGCCGACTATGGTAGACCATGTTGACCACTCCCTGATGACGACGCGTCGGTCACGTGGCGGCGCGTGTCCCGCGGGGCCTAAGTCTGGGGCCCCCGCGCGGTGGTCCAGAAGACCAGAGCAAGGCGGTCAAAATCCCGGACGCGTTTTGAGCGCCAGGGTCGCTAAATGGGACTCGAACCGATCGTGTGACCCCACCAATGGATTGCTCTTCGAACGGGGAATCTAGTGGTGGGGTCACACAATCGGTTCGAGTCCCGTTTAGCGACTCTGGAGCTAAAAACGCGTCTAGAGTTATGGCCACCTCCACCGGTCTTCTGGCCCACTGTGCTGGCACGGCGTGGCTCACAGTCTCTCCAGACCGGCCCGGCCGCGTGGGTCCTGCGCGCGCGCAACACAATACCACCCCGATTGGGTGTCCGCGGGGCGGCTAGGCTCAGGCGAGGCGGTCCAGAGTGAAGTCGAGAGTCGTTTTCGGCGCTCTGTCGCTCTCGCACTCATGGGGCGTGCCGTGTCGGTGCGAGAGAGGCAGAGCGACGAAAACGACACTCGGAATCAATGTACAGGACAGCCTTTCCGGCCGAGGCGCCGAGGCCCGCGTCGTATCGAGTAAGCCTCGGATCACACGGGGAGCGCGAACACCGCGGAGAGAGCGGTGGCGCCGGTAGAGAGTGAGTCTAGTCTGCGCTGCCCTGCAGTCATAGTCCAGTCCTGCCCTGCCGTGGCCTCGTCCTGGGGTGCCAGGCGCGGATCCAGGGGGCGATGGGGGCCTCGCCCTGAATCCACGGTGGGCCAGAAGACCGGTGGAGGCGGTCAAAATCCCGGACGGATTTTGAGCTCCAGAGTCGCTAAATGGGACTCGAACCGAACGTGTGACCCCACCACTAGATTCGTCGTTCGAAGAGCAATCCATTGGTGGGGTCACACGTTCGGTTCGAGTCCCATTTAGCGACTGTGGAGCTAAAACGAGCTAAAACGCGTCGAGAGTTTTGGCCGCCCCCACTGGCAAATCGACGGTGCAGCGGAGCCGCCTGAGAGGTAGGCAGCCCGTCTCTGGATTCACCCTTGTGGGCTGCCCCGGGCAGCGGGGCCGTCGTTCTCGAAGATTCGAGTGTCTCTCCGTTCGGTGAACAAATTAGCAGTGGCGTCAGTGATGAATTAATCAAAACATCGGAAAAGAGGAGGTGGGGGCGCTCATTGATTGCGATACGATCAAAACAAAAAGCGCCGGCGCGCCGAAACTTCGCGGCGAACTGCGGCACCAGTAGCAGCGGTTGGGGGGGGGCCCTGGGTGAGGCGCCCATGGGCGACCAATGGTCCGTCCACACTGCAACCTTAGACACCCATGGTGAATCCATTGGTGCATATGGTCGTGAAGGGGTGACCATGGTCGATCCGTGGACAGGCCATGGACAATCCATGGTTGGCCCATGGGTCATCCATTA